CATAAAAACATGTAATTTATTTCTGTCTTTCATTATGAATTTATAATACTTGTATAAGTCAGTCTTTTAAAATTTTAATACTTAGAGTCTATGGCTAGAGGAAATAAAAATGTTTCATCTCAATGTCCACATGTTTTTAATGTAAAAAAATATGGTAAAAAAATACCTTACAAGCATTTAATCTACTTAATATTATGAGAAAATTCTATGGAGAAAGTGGAATGAAAATAGAAGTTTAAGGCGATAAAGAAATAATAGGCTCAATTGTTAAACTTTTTTGTGTGCAAAAATTTGTACATATATTATATGACTGGGCATCAAATCACTATTGTATATAACTCCCTTTGGATACATTTAAAAATTACTGCTTAGTAATTACTGAATTAGATCCTTTCAACTATTTAAACTTATGATAAAAGGTGAATAACAACTTTAAAATGTATGAGAGAGTTATTGTTTTTGTAAAATTCTGTTTGGTGAGCAACAATGTTGGACATTCAGGGTTTTGAGTGGGGCTGAATGTTCTAGGGCCTCACGGAGGATCCCGGGAAGGGAGAGAGGAGAGCGTTGGCACTGCCATCGTCCTTCCTGGGAAACGCAATACGGAGACGCTTACCTGTCTTACCATCTGGACAACGGCCGAGCCTCTTCCGGCAGAGAAGCCTGGCAGGATCCCCAGATGCATGGAAACCCAAAGAAAGAACGGATTACAATGCTGAGCTTCAGACATATCTCAAAGCCAAAAATGCCTGTAGTGGAATAAGTCATTGAGATGTGCACGCATAAAAGAAGCACATGTGGCCCCTTAGAAAACATGGCTGCAGGCCCGACCGGCGTGGCTCAGTGGCTGAGCATCGACTTATGAACCAGGAGATCATGGTTCGATTCCCGGTCAGGGCACATGCCCAGGTTTCAGGTTTGATCCCCAGTAGGAGGCGTGCAGGAGGCAGCTGATCAATGATTCTCTGTCAACATTGATGTTTCTAATCTCTCTCTCCCTCTCCTTTCCTCTTTCAGAAATCAATATAAATGTATTTAAATAAAAAATAAAACATGGTTGCATCATCATATTCATTTTTATTGAATGAATAAAAATGCCAGAAGGCTGAGAACCACTGGATTAGAAGAAGAGAAGGGAATTAGGAAAACACTGTGATCGTCTCTAGACGGAGGTAATGACCAGGCTTAATTAGTGTGAGAAACATCAGAAATAAAGGGAAGGGGAGAGCCGCGTGGGAGACGGAGGCACACCTCCCATCCGTGTCTGGTGGGAGGCAGAGAGGCCGTGACACAACGACACTGTAGTAGAGACGCCCAAGGCAGAGTGTGAAAGGAAGGCCACAAGGGGCAAACGTGGGGATTCCAGGGTTCAGCTGGAAAAGGGGGGCCCACGGAGGAGATGCGGAAACAACGCCCAGGACAGGAGCAGAGAAACCACGAGAAAGCCATGCTTTAAAGACGGGACGGCCCGGCTGGCGAGGCTCAGGGGTGGAGCCTTGACCTCTGAACCAGGAGGTTATGGTTTGATTCCTGGTCAGGGCACAGGCCGGGGTTGCAGGTTCAATCCCCAGTAGGGGGCGTGCAGGAAGCCGATCCATGATTCTCTCTCATCACCGATGTTTCTATCTCTCTCCCTCTCCCTCTCCCTTCCGCTCTGAAATCAATACAAATATATTAAAAAGAAAAACAGGACCAGCTACATGATTTGTGGGGTCTCTTGTCCAAAAATCATCCAGAATTTCAAGACAGCAGCAGCAGAGCCACGCACGGGGCCCTGTGGGACTCCGCAGGCCGCACCCTGGGAAGCCTGAATTCCTAAAAGCCCCGTAGGTGGTGGGTGTGATGCAGCAGGTGGGCATTTTGTTAATTTCAAATTAAATGATTCATCAGGGATCATTCAAACAGTTAATCCCTCTTTTTTTGTATCGACAGCATACATGCCTGGTGTTTCCTTCTGTTTCGCTTTGATAACTGTCTCGCCCAACTTTTGGGGTGCATTTCTCTGAGGGTTCCTGAATTGGCAGCCCAGGAATGCGTAAACGGCCGAGAAAGCATGTAGCTAATTTCGCGTACTCCCAGCAACCCTCACAGCTTCTGGCTGTCTCACAGGAAGGCAACCGAGTTTAAAAGCACCCAGAGCCTTGGTGAAAGTCTCAGGAAAGGGCTGGCCACGCGCGCTCTGATTAAGACGCTGGTGGCCCATGAGCAGCTCTGAGTGCAAAAGTTTTTGCCACTTCAGGGTCAAAGGATGGGTTTGTCAAATGATACAACCACACGGGAGTGGGGGGGGGGGGCGGTTTGTTGTTTTGTTTTGTTCCTTTTTTAAAAAGGAAACTTGCAAATAGGGCTTCAGAATGGTGTCCGCAGTCTGCTGGCCTCAACAGATCTGGGAGAGTAGCACGGATCTGGAAGGCTGCCCTGCCCGTGACTTCCCTGCTAACCAAGTCCGACCAGCCAGCATTCACGTGGTCTACGGCTGCTGTTCACGTTCTCCTGTAGGTGCTACCATCACTCTAGATGTTTAAACTTTGACCTTGAATAAAGCAAGTAAAAATCTGCAGTAAACTGCAAAATAATCTTATTTTTAAATTTTTAAAAATTTGTTTAAATATATTTTTATTGATTTTTAGAGAGAGGAAGGCAGAGGGAGAGAGAGAGAGAAACATCAGTGATGAGAGAGAATCATGGATCAGCTGCCTCCTGCACGGCCCCCTCGGGGGGATGGAGCCACAACCCGGGCCTGTGCCCTGACCGGGAATTGAACTGGCAACCTCTTGGTTCCTGGGTCGATGCTCAAGCACTGAGCCACGCTGGCCGGGCTACCGTACTTTTAGTGGTTTCACACAAAATGAAACAGTAATAAAGTGAAGCACTTGTTACACATGACTTTGCCTGATTTCGATATTAGAGGTTTAAAAATCATGTCTTTTAAAAATATCTCCTGAGTATCTTCGGAAAACTCAGCAAAGGGAAGTTGCCAGAAAGAAGCGGGCACAGTTCTCTCTGGCTCTGGCTCTTCCAAGCTGTTAGACGTTTCCGGGCCTTCGGTCAAGTTTCAGGAAGTTGGGGAAGCCAAGGCTGCAAATGTCTGTGCCTCGGTTTTCAAAGGGGAGAACAAGGCCCCGGTCAGTGGCTCCGCTGGTTGGAGCATCACCCCGTGCACCGGCTTCCTGCCAGGCCACACACCTGGGCTGTGGGCTCGGTCCCCGGTCCTGGGAGGTGTGGGGGGGGGGGGCATGTGGGAGGCAGCCCCAGTGGATGTTTCTCTCTCTCTCTCTCTCTTCCTTCTCTCTAAAATGAATAAAATACATCTGTTAGAGCAGTGGTTCTCAACCTTCCTAAGGCCGCGACCCTTTAATACAGTTCCTCATGTTGTGGGGACCCCCAACCATAAAATTATTTTCGTTGCTGCTTCAGAACTGTCATGTTGCTACTGTTATGAATCGTCATGTAAATATCTGATATGCAGGATGTATTTTCATTGTTACAAATCGAACATAATTAAAGCATCGTGATTAATCACAAAAACAATATGTAATTATATATGTGTTTTCTGATGGTCTTAGGCGACCCCTATGAAAGGGTCGTTCGACCCCCAAAGGGGTCACGACCCACAGGTTGGCGACCCACAGGTTGAGAACCCCTGTGTTAGAGGCTTCCAGGGCAGGAGGAATAGGGAAACTGAGGCAGGAAAGCTAAAAAAAGGCAAGTAGCAGCCAGCTTGTAACTAACGAGCCACTATCTTCCCAGCCAAGGCAGGGAGAGCAAATGGTTAAAAACCGCCCCAGGGAGAGACTGCAGAGGGGGAGGGGGAGGGAGGGGAGGGAAAGGGCCGTTCCACTCCCTCAGCAGAGGAGCCGGCAGCCTGGGCTTGGGCTTGGCAGGGCAGAGTGGCAGGTGCTTCTCAGGAATTCTGGGTAAACAGGGGCCTTGGGATTAATCTGCACCAAGACAGCCAGCGGGGAACTTTGAAGCCTATAGACAGGAGGGTGCATAACGCACCCCCCCCCGCCCCCCTGCCCCCCCACCTGCTCTTGGGATGAGCCGAGAGCCGTCTGCGCTTCCTGAGCCAGATGCGAAGGTCTGCTGGCTTCACTTTTGCTTTTTCTCAATAAAGGTGCAGCTCTAATTGCTTTGATGATTGGCTTTCACACCGCAGCCAAGGTCTCTCGTATAAATTCACTCACATGAGAAGACAGGGATCGAGGTTGGGGACAGCCTCTCCCGCTGTCCGGGGCTGTGCTGTCCGGGAACCCCTCTCTGGTGTCGGTGAGAGGGGCCTATAGCGTTGCCTCGGGTGAGGGGAACAGAGGGCCAAGTCGCTGCAGCCCTTGTCCAGTGTCACTCGAGGCTCCCGGGAACAGAAACTCCCGTGTGCACTCTTGACTGTTTTGCAACTGCCACAAGCTTTCTGGGCTTTAAGGCCCATGATGCTGACCCGGCTGCCAGAGGCAGACAACTTAGGGAGCTTGGATTCTGGTCTAGAATTGAAGGCTCATTCAGAGTCTCATTCTGGGTCACTGACGGGAAACAAACACAGCAGCATGCATCTTAGCAATTGTCGCACCTGCTCTGTTATCATCACCTGGAGGCCCCATGTGCGGATTCATGCACCTCAGGCACGGGGACGGGGTCCCTTGGGGTGTCCTGCGGAGATCAGGCCCCAGCTGGCGCCCCCACCCTTGCAGCCCCGCCTGGCACCCTGGCCTTAGCCTGGCGCCATCCGCTCCCCTGCTCCACCATCCCTCCGGCCGCTGCACAGTCCTCGGTGCCCATGCGGCTGCCAGCGCCATGTCCCGGGCCTCCCCCTGGTGGTCAGCACACGTCATAGCGAGCGGTCAAACTCCTGGTCTAACAACTAACCGAGGGGACAGTTTGCATATTAGGCTTTTATTATACAGGGCACCTACGAACCAGTCCTTGGCAGCGCATAGAGCATGGTCACAGATCGCATTTTAAAGGTTAGAGACCAGAAACTCCAGTTCCGGCACTTTTTTTTATTGTACGAGTTTATTGACAGGGTCAAAGTCCATGTCCTCTCTTCGCCTGCTTTCATGTCCTGCTGCTGCAAGAGGACACGCTGGCTGCCTCTATTCCAGAAAGAAAGAAATGCTGCTGATTAACGAGCAAAAGAATTGTAGCCTTACAGGCCCCCGGAGTGCGGCTGCCCCAAAACCAGCGCTTGGGAAGTCAGGACAGAACCCAAACAGGCAGGGGCCTCCTGCTGGCCTTTCCCGACCTGGAGGGGTTCCCCCCCCCCGCCCCCCCCCCTCCCGCCTCGGGCTCTCAGTCCCCTTCTCCCCATGGTCCCTGGGCTCTGACCCTCTAGACACCTCAGGTCCTGCCCTTCTTCCAAACCTTCTCCCCGAGGCAGGAGAGTGGCGCCTATTCTCTGTAGGTCAGAGCTCCCCGGTTGGGGAGGTGGGTCCCCGTCGGTCACTGCGCATCAGCTGGGCTCCCAGAGGCGGTGCGGGAGGCGTGGTGGGGTGCGTGGTGGATGCGGTGGGCGGGTCACGGACAGGAGGAGCAACGTGGGGGGGGGGAGCATGGTGTGGGCGGGGCGTAGGGTGCTGGGCGCGCGAGGTGGAGGGCGGGCCCGGTTGGGGGGCGGGCGTAGGGTGCTGGGCGTGCGCGGTGGGGGGCGGGCGTAGGGTGCTGGGCGCGCGCGGTTGGGGGGCGGGCGTAGGGTGCTGGGCGCGCGCGGTTGGGGGGCGGGCCCGGTTGGGGGGGCGGGCGTAGGGTGCTGGGCGCGCGCGGTTGGGGGGCGGGCGTAGGGTGCTGGGCGTGCGCGGTGGGGGGCGGGCGTAGGGTGCTGGGCGCGCGCGGTGGGGGGCGTGCGCGGTGGGGGGCGGGCGTAGTGTGCTGGGCGCGCGCGGTGGGGGGCGGGCGCGGGGGGGCTGTGGGGGCCCCGGGCGGAAGGCGCGGAGCAGGCGGTTCTGTGCGCGGCTCTGCGCTCCCGGAGGCTCCCGCGGAGAAGGGCCCGGGCCCGGGCTGCGCGTTGGGAAATAGAGGAATCCACCGCTTTCCGGGGACTTTCCCGCTTCTGGTGGGGAGCAGGCGTGTCTGCCGCCCCCCCCGGGGCGATCGCGGGCCGCGCAGACGCTGGGAGCCGCCGCCGCGCGGGGGGAGGGAGGCGCTCCCGGAACACAGCGCGCGCCCAGGGTCCCGCCGACCCGCGCCCGCGCCCGCGAACAGGACCGTCGCCCCGAGCCGAGTCCGCTCCTCGGTGAGGCCCCCAGACCCAGGGCTCCCGGAGGGAGGGAAGCCGGTGTCCCCACGTCCCTCCTCCCTCCCGCGGCCAGTGCTGCGCGTTCACCGGGGAGGGCGCCGTGAGGGGCGGGGAGGGGGGAGTAAAAGTGTCGGAGGGACACTCGGCGCCCGGAACAGGCCCCTGTGCACAGCCCACCTCGTTTTAAACAACACGCGCTGAGAATGTGGGCAACTGCGGGCACGCCCGACCCCCCGGGGCGCCCCGCTGTCTGTGAAGCAGCGAGGAACTGGCTCCTTTGACCAAAAATATCTCCACGGGCGGCCGTTGATGGTCAAACCCCGTCCCCCGCCCCTGGCTTCGCGGGGCCTGGCGGGGGGCGGCGGGGGCGGGGGGTCGGTGGGGACGGGGGAGCGGGCGGGGCGGGTTTCTGCGCTGATCACCCTGCCCATCCTCCCCCAGCCCCCCCTGATCCCCCCCACCCTCGGAGTCAGGCGCGGACCCCCTCCCAGCCCCAGATCCCAGGTAAGTGCGCCGCCCGGTGGCCCGCGGGGCGCTCAGGACGCAGCCACCTGCCTCTGGGTGGTGCTGTGATCAAGGCCCCCCGAAAGCCTGGCGCCTTTTTTAATTTTTTAAAATATATTTTTATTGATTTCAGAGAGAAAGGGAGAGGGAGAGAGAAACACCAACGATGAGAGAGAATCATGGATCGGCTGCCTCCTGCTCGCCCCCCACTGGGGGTCAGGCCCACAACCCCGCACGTGCCCTGACCAGGACCCTTCAGTCCGCAGGCAGAGGCTCTATCCACTGAGCCGAACCGGCCGGCCCCAACGCCTCTTTGTGTCTATTTATCCCAGTTCATTTGCCGACACAGACATTGCTACGGATGTCATCCCAGAGTATCGCAGCCTTTTCCTGTCCGACCCCAGGTTACAACTTGAATGATACTCCGTCTCCACTTCATGTCATCCCATAAAACCAGATGGTTTGTGATTTTGTAACGAAAATATCTGTGAAATCTGGAATAGATGTTAAGTGCACGTGGCACAAAGGTCAAAGGTCCGGAGCGTGGGGGAGCCCCCTCTGCAGAGGTCACCACTGTGGAAGCGGAGCCCACTGCTCCAGTTTCCGTGGTAACATGTAGGGTTTGAAAAGGCTGTGTTTGGGCACCTGCCCATTCGTGGGTGCCCTTTACGTATTTTAAACACTAGAGGCCCAGTCCTTCAGGGTGGCCTGTGGGGATCGGGCCCCAGTCGCACCCCCAGCCTCACAGCAACGCCTGGCGCCCCGCCTTGGCCTGGTGCTGCCCCCTCACCTGCTCTACCATTTGCCTTCAGGGCAATTGATTTGGGGTGTGCGCCCCCCCCCCCCAACACACACACACACACACCCTGGGCTCTCTCAGGGCCTGGAAGCTGGGCGGCAGTCCCGCGCCCCACCACGCTGGTCGCCATCTGTGGGGTGATCGGGCTCCCGCTCGCACCCGCCTTGGCCTGGCGCCGCCCGCTCACCTGCTCCACCATCCCACCGTGGCCCCACTCTTGTTGGGGCCCATCAGGGCCAGCAGCGCCTCCACTGCCAGCGCTGTGTCGCCAACACCTACCCTGTTCTGTGCCACCTCCTGGTGGTCAGTGCAGCCATAGCGAGTGGTCAAATGACAGCCCAAGGAGACAATTTGCATATTAGGCTTTTATTATATACTAAAGGCCTGGTGCATGAAAATTCATTCACTGGAGGGGGGTCCCTCAGCCTGGCCTGCCTCCTCTCACCGTCCAGGAGCCCTCGGGCGGGAGGCAACCTGGTGATCAGGGCAAGGCAACGCCCCATCACACCTCTGCTGCTGCGACTGCCGGCAGCGCAAGCCTTGGCCGGCCCTGGTTATCTGAGCCTTGGGTGGCCCTGGGGCTGAGGGGACTGGGTGCTGCCATCTTGTGGCTGTGGGCGCTGCCATCTCTGAGGGCGGGCAGTCAATTAGTATATTCCCTCCTTATTGGCCGTGGGCGCTGCCATCTTTGCGATGGTGCGAGAGTTAATTAGCATATTCCCTCTTTATTAGATAGGATATTTTTATTGATTTCAGAAAGGGAGAGGGAGATAGAAACATCAATGGTGAGAGAGAATCATTGATTTGCTGCCTCCTGCATGCCCCCTACTGGGGATGAGCCAGCAACCTGGACGTGTGCCCTTGACCGGAATTGAACCTGGGACCTTTCAGTCCGCAGGCCCACCCTTTATCCAGAGCCAAACCGTTAGGGCTCGTGTTTGTGTTTTAAAGAAAAGACCCACCTATTTTACCTTTCAGGGTGTGTTTTGGTTAGTTTCTGTCTTTTCTGGTTTTCTACCGACCACCCTGGAGTGGCAGGGCTCAGGCCGCTCACAGGGGGCCTTGCAGGTGGACGTGTTAAATGGGCAGAGCATACGCTCTGTGTTCTTGATGTCAGAGACAGGTTCACCCTAACAACCTGGCTGCCCCCTTGCCAGCAAGTAGGAACCGGTCCACACACCTGGGGGTGGACCCAGTGGGTCCCTCCCAGCGCCAGGCTCCAGCCCTGTCCTGCTGATTCTAATACACACGCCTCCCTGCGCCCTGCCCTGCCAGGGTCACAGCTACAGTCTCTAAAATCACAGCCTGGGGTGGATTCCCCGATGTTAGTGCTGTGGGTTGATGCTTGCTGTCTTTGATTTCATCGTAATTTTTACCACAAATGGGCCCATGATGTTAAGGGTTCCTTTCACTTTTCCTGTTTCCAGTCGAGCGTCTCCGTGGCTGATACAATAGGGTGTAAAAACCTGCACGCAGAATCGGTTACGGAAGTAAAGTTACATAACGTATTTCCAAATGAATAAAAAAGAAATTGCTTAGCTCTGGCATTTGTTGAATAAGTTGACAATTTGATTTGTAGCAGCATCACTTTGTCAAACAAGCAAAAAAAAACTATGTTACAACACCAGGAACCAAAGAAAGGAAATGAAAGCATTGCTTTTTTAAACTAGCTCTGATACTAACATCTACTACAGGCCGCAGACAGAAAACATTGAAGTCACAAATCAGCCTTGCTTAGGACTTAGAGCCCCAAGCCCCAAACCAGGGTTTGAAGAATGCAGGCAGCAAGCCCACCGCCTGGGGATGTGGCTTCCCAACACACTGACTTAGAGGTCGGTGCCGCTGGTAAAGAATGAGGTGCATTTATGTGTAGATATGGGAAAAGCATCCATTTGTATTATTAATTGAAAAACGCAAGACCTAGTATGCTTGTTGTGTAAAGAATTTTTTTATGGGAAAAATCAACTTTACAACTGATTCTAGAAGAGGAAACAGGATTAGGGTGGAGGGAAGATACTTTTTAAAAATACATATTTTTATTGATTTCAGAGAGGGAGAGAGAGGGAGAGAGATATAGAAACATCAATGATGAGAATCATTCATGGGCTGCCTCCTGCACACCCCACACTGGGGATCGAGCCCGATACCCGGGTGTGTGCCCTTGACTGGAATCGAACCCGGGTCCCTTCAGTCCGCAGGCTGAGCCAAACTGGCTATGGTGGGAAGATACTTTTTTTAAAAGCCTTTACTGTTTTGAATTCTGTAATCGTGTGCATATAACCCTTTTTGAAGTTTTAAAATGGCATTTCTGTGTCAAAATAACCTCCAGGGGTTTTGGTAACGAACTCTCCTGTCCTGTGATACCCTCTACCCCACTGACTGCTGAGGTCCCTGCAATGGGGGGGAGGGGGCGGCCCTCCCGGGCGCAGGTGTGGCCGGTGTGGTAACAGCAATTGGGCCGCTTGTGGTTACTGACAGCTGTCCATCGTTAGGGACGTCTGGCAAAAACAAACAACTCCCGTGGAGTCTGTGCTTAGAACTACGTCAGAGAGACTTTTTTTTTTAAATATACTTTATTGATTTCTTACAGAGAGGAAGGGAGAGAGATAGAGAGTGAGAAACATCACTGAGAGAGAAACATCCATCAGCTGCCTCCTGCACACTCCCTACTGGGGATGTGCCTGCAACCCAGGTACGTCCCCTTGACCGGAATTGAACCTGGGACCCTTTAGTCTGAGGGCCAATGTTCTCTATCCACCGAGCCAAACCGGCTAGGGCCATCAGAGAGACTTTTAAAGTTGTCACATCTACATATTAAAATGGTAAAATAACCTTTGAAATAACTTACTATTTTTAACCGTTTACCTACTAGAAGTACAAATGATGACAGTAAATGTTGCAATTATTTATGACTTTTTAAATCTTTCTTTAATCAGGTTTCAGAATTCACATCCATCTAGTTTTAACAGTAAATGACAGCTTTTATAGGTTCGTCCTCTGAGGACATTCAGATCGAAGGCAAGACCCCTTATTCCCGATTCCCTTTTCAAGCACGGCTGCCCTGCTGTCTGGCCCCAGCAGCTCTATTTAAATGAGAAGGAAACTGGGGTTTTGTTATGCCACCCACAAACCACTTTATTATCAATAATTACTTCTTTTGTTGTTGGATTACATGTATGGTCTTATCAAACTAGAAATGAAAAAGAGATAGGAAAAGGGTAACACCAATTCACAGAGCTTGGTATACAATTTCATGTATAATTGAAAGGATTCTATGTATTGTTTTCTTAACTTAAAATCTAAATGACCTATCAGAAGATTTTCATCAAATATGAGAATCAAGATTTCATTGCCTCGCCCAGCTGGCATGGCTCAGTGGTTGAGCATCGACCTGTGAACCAGGAGGTCACGGTTCAATGGGTTGTGATCTCCAATGTGGGGTGTGCAGGAGGCAGCCGATCAATGATTCTCATCATCGATGTTTCTATCTCTCTCTCTCCCTCTCCCTTCCTCTCTGAAATCAATCAACCCTATATATTAAAGAGGTAATATGCAAATTGACCATCACATCCTCACACAAGATGGCCACCCCCATGTGGTCACAAGATGGTTGGCAGGGGAGGGCAGTTGGGGGTGACCAGGCCGGCAGAGGGCAGTTGGGGGTGACTGAGCTGGCAGGGGAGGGCAGTTGGGGGTGACTGAGCTGGCAGGGGAGGGCAGTTGGGGGTGATTGGGCTGGTAGGGGAGTAGTTAGGCATCGATCAGGCTGGCAGGGGAGTGGTTATGGGCAATCAGGCAGGCAGGCAGGCAGGCAGGCTAGCGGTTGGGAGCCAGCAGTCCTGTATTGTGAGAGGGACATCCCCTGAGGGGTCCCAGATTGGTGAGGGTGCAGGCTGGGCTGAGGGACACCCCTCCCCCCGCCCATGCACGAATTTCATGCACCAGGCCTCTAGTGTGTGTGTGTGTGTGTAATATATGTATATATTAAAAAAAAGGTCTCGGTGCCCAGAGTGGGATGTGAGCTAACGTGCTGCTGACTTGCAGGCAGGTGCTGCCGCCGCCATGTCCAGTTTCGAAGACGCGGACACGGAAGAGACAGTGACGAGCCTGCGGATCACCATTTACCATCCTGGCCAGGTGCAAAATGGGATATTCCAATCGATAAGGTTCTATAACCCAGAGAAGCTCCCGTCCAGCGAAGTGGTGAAATTTGGCCGAAATTCCACCATCTGTCGCTACACTTTTCAGGACAAGCAGGTTTCGCGAGTCCAGTTCTCCCTGCAGCTGTTTAAAAAGTTCGACAGCTCCGTGCTCTCTTTTGAGATTAAGAACATGAGCAGGAAGACCAGCCTGCTGGTGGATAGCACGGAGCTGGGCTACCTGAACAAAGTGGAGCTGCCCTACAGGTGCATGGTCCGCTTCGGCGAGTACCAGCTCCTGGTGGAGAAGGAAGACGGGGAGTCCCTGGAGTTTTTCGAGACTCTGTTCATTATGTCCCCCAGGCCTCTCCTGCAGGAACACGACTGGCCCGCACGCAAGCCCACCCCCGAGTTCTGCAGGTCCTCGTCCTGGTGCACCCAGAGCACTTCCCTGAGTGCTTCTCCGAGGGAAATGGATGAGAATGAGTATTAGGCACAGGCAAGAGGAGAGGCGGACGGAGCACTCTGCGGACGCCACTGACCGTTACCTGCAGCCCGGCTGTCGCCTGCTGATGCCGTAGAGTCGGACCCAGGGCTGCCGTTCCACAGCCTGTAATTCGTGGGCGGCACCGACTCGGTTGCCTGGTGCATGGCTGGACGTGCTGAGGGCTCGTGCACATGGGTGTGGTGATGGAGTGATGACCAATAAATGGGTTGTAGTGTTTTCTCTTTACACCTGATGTTAGTCCTGTGCTTTGTTTTGTAAGAACCACCTCTAGGTCACATCATCTCACAGCAGCCACTGGTTTTAAGGCCAAGGCTACAGGCAGATGGTTGCCTGCTGGTTGTCGGGCACTGGCCTGGAGGGGAGCGTGTGTTAGTGTCTGCGCATTGCTGTGGCTTTAATGTGGGAGCTTATCTGAGCTAATACCTTGACTTCCGACCGATGGGATTATAGTATGTGTCTGTTCTCAAGAATAAAGTTCTTGTCTGTAATCAGCACCTAAAAACAGCACTTAAAACATTTTATTGAACCACTGTGCTAGATGCAGAAGTATGTTTCAGTTTTCTTACCCAATTTTAAACTGATCTTTATGTCCTATTAAAATGTTTAATTCCACGAATTCCTAATGTCAACAGCACCTACGCACCTAATAAAATCTGTTTAATTCTCGAACCATTTTCTTGGAAACTCTAAGGACAGGCCCAGTGCGGCCGAGCCCGGGGCTGTGCACTCAGACACGCAGCTCTGCCCGTGTGTGTCCAAGCCATTCTCCTCCCCTCCTCACTCCGTGTGCTGACCCAGGGCCACTGGGTGCCAGGATCGATCAGAGAACCTGACCTCCCAAGGGCCAGCGGCCCGCCCTCCACCAGTCAGCTCTCCGCAGGTGCCATTTGAGACTGCCAAGCGGGGTGCTGGTAGGAGGTACTGCAGCTAAGCTGTCTCTGACCCCCCTCTCCTACCCATGTCTGACCCCTCAGAAGACTCTGCTCTGTGTTCCAACAGCCGTTCCCGCCCCGGCCCCACCGTGCCCCATGAGGGGTGCCCTCTACAACCCGCCTGCACAGCGGCTAGAGCACTTTTTCAAAAATGCCCACGTGCTCACTGTTACTCCAGCTTCCTATTCTACATCAAGTAAAACTCACCTTGCCCTCCAGTGTGGCTCAGTGGCTGAGCGCTGATCTATGAACCAGGAGGTTGATTCCTGGTCAGGGCACATGCCAGGCTGGGGGTTTGGTCCCGTGTGGGGCGTGCAGGAGGCAGCTGATCAATGATTCTCATCATTGATGTTTCTATCTCATCAATGTTTCTCTCTCTCCCTCTCCCTTCCTCTCTCTTTTAAAATCAATAAAAATACGTGTGTTTTTTTTTTTTTTTTAAACTCATCCTTCTCCATGCCTACAGGCCTCACATGACTGGCCAAGTGGTCTTTTATGCTCGGAACATACCAACTCCCTCCCACCTCACCTTGCACGTTCGGTTCCCTTTCCTTACCACATGCTTCCCAGGCCTTTGCCCTGGCTGGTCCTGCTCCAGTGTCTCAGGTCCAAGGCCGTCTCCTCACAGAGGGCTCCTGACCTGTCAAACCCAGTCCCTCGTCCCCTTGCTGCCCTGTCCGTCATCCAGTGTATCTCCTGCTGTCATCTGTGATTCCCAATTACTTGTTATTGTCTGTCTCTCTTGCCAGAAGGTAAACAAAACAGAAACTTTTCAATGCGATGTTTCCACGCTTACCCTACCAGACACAGTAGATTCTCCAATATTTGCTGAAAAATTAGTTATTTCCAGTGTTTTTAACAAACATAAATCAGCCCTAGCCAGTTGGGCTCAGAGTGTCGGCCTGCAGACTGAAGGGTCCTGGATTCAATTCTGGTCAAGGGCTCATGCGGGAGGCAACCCATCGATGTGTCTCTCTCTGCTTCTCCTTCCCTTCCACTCACTCTAAAAATCAATGGAAAAATATTCTCAAGTGAGGATTAACAACAACAAAAAATTTAATATCCTCTTCACAGCAGGTAAAACAAACATTTTCAAGTTTAGTTCCAGCCTGCTTTCCTAATTTACTACTTTTTGTCTTCATAGCAGATTTAATAAAGTAACTGTCAGAAGTCAGGGTCACTCACTGCCTGTTAGGAGACATATGTACTACTATTTGTAATACCGTAAACAATTAAAAAATTTTTAAAAAAATAAAAAAATAAAGAAAAAAATAATTATGGCATGTTTATGGAATAAAACAATAATTTTTAAAATTAGTTTTTAAATGTAAAAATGTGTTTATTCACAATCCTCGACAAGCTGCCATTCCTCCAAAAAATATTTTATGAACAAAATGCAAAAAAATTACAATCGTAGCTTATGCCAAACAAAGAATATACATCAGATGTATATAAACTTCAAAAAGCATAACAGGCAGTGTGAGTATAGATTACCTTAAAATATTTCCCATGACATAGCTACAACGTAAATTATGCGAACACAGACATAACCAATAGCGTTACCGAACACGTCTACATACTTAGTGTCGTGTGTAGGTCTATGAGATAAAGTGACAGAACCACAGACGCCCTTGCCGAGCAGCTCAGACACTGAAAGGACCACGTGATGCGTTAAGTGCAGCAAGAATCCGAGTCGCTATTTACACCCGGGCCTTCCGATGGTCTTGAGAACATGCGCTGTCATTGTCGCAAGAAAAAGAAAAGGAAAAGCGCTGAGGAAAAAAATCAAGTTTGCTGACTGAAATCACATCAATTCTCAGCAAAATCCAGATAAGCCACTAGGCGTCTCCTTGGCCTTTGAAGTTGGTGCCTAACCTTCAGAGGAAAGAGCTCACTGTCCACCCCAAGGAGGAGGTGTATTTATTGATGGACTTAATTCCAGCCCAGTAGTGCACCTTGAATTACAAGGCAAAGGAAACTCAATAGAAATCCACAGATCCTTTCACACCAGAAAGGATTTATTTACTCTGAAATACCCGTATTTCCTTGTTAGGTTTTCCTTTCTTATTAAATGATGCAGAGAATAAGATCTTTCTAAGACCAGTCACTGGAAATAAAAAAAAAAAAAAAAAGGCGTCTAGAAATTTAATTTATCAACTAAAGTCAACATTCATGTGTAGCGCATGTAAAAGGAAGTGAACATTCATCTTCTTCTACTCCTGATCACCAACTTCAAGCGTTCGAACTCGGGAAGCTTCCTCTGTCCTATCATCTCCTACGTGGATGTGCAGTCAGTGTGGACAGAGAATGACACGTGAGCATTCGAGTCGCCTCCCAGAGTAACCGCTACGACCTGGTGGTGAGTGAGTGCGGGACAGGCATGCGGAGCGGGACCGTTATTCTGAGTCTGAGCCGGGCGCTCCGTCCTCTGTCCCTCTGTCTGCTCAGCGTTAACACCCAAAGCCTTAACACTCGCAGTCAGACACTGAACAAGCTTCTGCAGACACACTAAGTAAAACCAACAAAGCCATCCTAGAAAGAACACCTACAGACTGCAAACGGGAATGTACTTGATACTGTGACAGAACCATGAACTTGTTTTGAAAACGAAGGCAGATGCTGAAATTGCACTTGTTCTGAAGCAGTTCAGATCCAGCCCATCTCCGGTCCTTTCTGACAGCTTGTACACGGCTCCCACCTCCGGTGCCAAGGCTCAGCATGATTTACACATTCTCGCTGGGGTTACACTGGGTCCCACCTGCCAAGCTGGGTCACAAGATCTGACCCCCTCGCGTCTGTGGCTCTCCGCCCACTGGCTGCCCGCCGGGCTCCGACAGGTCTAGCACGGGGTTCACGAAGCCAGAGAACTCGGAGTTGCCGTTGTCGTCCACGTCGGCGCTCACGAAGTCGCTCTCCCACTCCAGCCCATTGGAGTCGTCCGAGGCGGACGCGGCGTGGCTCCCGGGCCTCCGGCCGCCCCTGAGCGCCGCCCGCAGGATGTCCTCCTCCGTCCGAGAGCGCTCGCGCACTGGGAGCATCCGATTCATGCCTGGAGGGGGCCAAGGTGTTCAACATCTCAGCGAAGGTGAAAACGCCACATGAAAAGACTTCCCAGGGTAACAGTCTAGTTTGTATCTAACAATCAGACCCTATTTGTGAGTTACAGAGCCAGCACCATGGAGGCCTCTCACGGGTCATGCATCTCACCCTGGAGCACGCCTTAGAGAAATGAACTCACCCAAGGGCAGCTGGGACACAACGCGACCACCTAAGGAGATGAAATGTCTGAGGAGCCATAAATCACACAGAATGAACGGAGGACCTAATGGCTATTAGTCATATACGGACAAATCCGTGCACCTGCCAATCCTCTCCTCCCCGGGTGATAACTTCCTTTCCCGGAGGGAACAGGGACTCCAAGAATAATGACAACATCCTGGCCCAGCACTGCCTAGTTCCCGTTAATGTTGATGTGTATTACGCACGGCTCTCCTGCTCTGCTCACAGCTGGGAACCTGGCAGGAAGGAGAAGGGGCCTGTGTCAGGGCTCCAAGCCGGGCTCCCGGCTCTGCCACACAACCCAGCAGAGGCGGGCCAGGGACTACACCTCATTCTGAACAGAAAGAAACTGGCCAATAAATGGAAAGTCCCATATTCTTGGGAGAAAAACAATGTCATTTTATTGGTAGAAGGAAGCGAGGGAGGGAAGACAAATTCAAATTTGTAAGTGTAGGACCAACATAAGTAAAAGAATTAACATCTAGGACTAGAAAAGGGATTAGAAGAAAATTTCCCTAAACACAGTCAATAATTTTGTTTTCTGACCTTAACGAATCAAACCCTACGGTAATAGAAGAACTTTTAAATATATATCAGTGTTGTCTGTCACTCATGAAAAATCACCAAGACTCAACATAGCAGAGCAAGTCATTTCCATAGACAAGACATAAACATGAGCTGCTGCTAACATCGCTCTGAGGGTTTGCATTCGATGGAATGACTGGGCCAAAGGAAGCTGGACTGCATATCGGGCTCCTAGTGGGCTCTGCCCTGACCCCACGGTTCATGATTCTACGTGATGATAATCCAGTTAATGACCTGAATAACGACCTCCAAAGACATGTTACCTACAAATCTGATTAGCATACAGCATGGACGACAGAATAGAAATTAAAATAACTGAAAGGCTTTGGGTCAAATTGAACTAGATGCTAAAATAAAAATAAACTTAAAGTCTGCTGACTGGAATTCAAATATGCAATAACCTCAGTACAGGAATAGGGAAACAGTACTTAGCTGAGAAGAAGAGCAAAGTTAAAGCAATTCTTGGTAAAATTATTCGAGCGCTGACATATCTGTTTCTTTATTAATAAAACAAAAGACTTCTATGGGAGGATATATAAGGTCCATTCCTTCCCAAAACCCTATGAAGAATTTAATGATTATTATTTTTCTTAAAGTCCTATGTTCTATAATTGGTTCTTCTGTTTGGATTATTTATTTCTTAAAATGAAAATGAAAACTTGGGCTTTATGCAGTGGAATAGTCTTTTTTTAAAAAAATAAATCCACATTTTAGCTATAATTTTGAGTACTTACTATTCGCAACATCCTGTACTGGGTCTTTTACAGAAATGGTATTTAATCTTCACAACATGAATGCCTTCATTTTTTCCAAATATTTACCAACTGCCTCTTGTGTGCCAGGCAGAGGACAAGTCAGGGAATGCCACCCTTT